TTCACCCCCTCCTCCCACTCCTCTCCCCCTCCCTCTCCAGTCCAAAGAGCAGTCAGGGTTCCCTGCCCTGTGGGAAGTCCAAGGTCCTCCCCCCTCCGTCCATGTCTAGGAAGGTGAACATCCACACTGGCTAGGCTCCCATCAAGCCAGAACATGAAGTAGGATCAAAACCCCGTGCCATTGTCCTTGGCTTCTCATCAGCCCTCATTGTTCGCCATGATCAGAGAGTCCGGTTTTATCCCATGCTTTTTCAGTCACAGTCCAGCTGGCCTTGGTGAGCTCCCAATAGATCAGCCCCACTATCTCCGTGGGTGGGTGCACCCCTCGTGGTCCTGACATCCTTGCTCGTGTTCTCCCTCCATCCGTCCGGGCTGCTTTTGTTTGTGGTGTCTGTCACATCCCTAGTGACTCCACTGAAGACAAAGTAAGGAAGGAAGGGGGCAGGGGCTGGGTCTGGATCACACATTGGTTGAGGATGGCATTTTTCATATATTCACCCATGCCTTTAGCATCTGGGTTATTTCAGAGAATATTGCACCTTTGAGTTGACTAGAATAGAATGTGGTCCCACTTCAGAAGCGAGAGATCTGTGTCTAGGAAGGCACAATGGCTGGGAGAAAGCGCTTCAGCAGGCCAGTCAGAGAGCTTTGCTGCAGCTTCTGTTCCTCTGCCCCTGGTTGTGAATGGCTTCTCTTCTCTGTTGCTGATAGACTGTAGAGGGCAGGCTAGAGTCAATGCGCCGGAGTGCACTAGGTTCTGATTGTTTCATTTGTCCTTCCAGCAAAGGGTGAATCATGAATAAGGACACCCTAACTGAGTCTAGGAGCAAGACGACAGGAAAGTCAGATGAGCACCCCAATCTGTGGATAGAGCGCTTCTTCAACCGGAGATGCTGCATCACCTTCCTGACTGGCTGCTACAGCTGCCACTGGCAATACAGAGAGTGGGAGAAAACTGAACTTGGATCCTGTTGCTGCCCCTGGGTATAGACATGGGAAGGAGCTGGATTCACTTCCTTAGCTGTGGGTGTGGGGGTCCCTAACCACTGCAGTGCTCACCGGGATCTCCCCGGTCTTCCTGTCAAAGTACTGCGGCAAGCCTAGAGCCAGAGTTAAACATACATGCTGTCTTCCTCTTCCTCCCTTTTCCTTCTTCCTTCAAACTTAGGATCTCCTGCATTCTAAGCAAGAGCTGCACTGCTGCGCTGCACCCAAAGCCCCTTCGTTTGTTTGCTTCTTGTTGCTGTCTTCCCTGCTCCCCAGTGTTTTAAAGCAGGATCTCTAATTGTCCAGACTGACCTTGAACTTCCATATAAATGAGCCAAACCTTGAACTCCTGATCCTCTGTCTCAATCTCTGAGTTCTGGGATGACAGCCATGTGTCATTCATTTGTTCATTTTTCATCCACTTTTATATTTATTCATTGAATTTCGAAGACTTGGATGCAATTAGATGTTCATAGGAGAATACAAGAATGCTCAAATCTTTTTTTCATGTATGTATCATATATATCTTTTTTTTTAAACATACCAATCCCAGTTTCCCCTCCTTCCTCTCCTCTTGCTCCTCCCTTACCCCCACCCCACCGCCCATCCACTCCTCAGAAAGGGTAAGGCCTCCCCTGGTAATTCAGCTAAGTCTGTCCCATCATCTCGTTGAGGCAGGACCAAGGCCTTTCCCACCCCCATCCCCAACCCCCAGTCCTGTGCCGAGGCTGAGCAAAGTCTCTCTCCATAGAGAATGGGCTCCACAAAGCCGGTTCACGCATTAGAGTTAGATCCTGGTCCCACTGCCATCGGCCCCATATACTGCCCAAGCCCACCATTGTCTCCTGTACTCAGGGGGCCTAGTTTGGTCCTATGCAGGTTCCCCAGCTGTCAGTCCAGAGTCAGTAATCTCTGACTAGTTCAGGTCAGCTGATTCTGTGGGAGTGGGGGTTGCTGGGGTAGGTGGAGCAGAAGGGAACAGAGGAGTCACTGAGAAACCGAGGCGAGGGAAACAGGTCAGGTAGCGTGGTTTTAAAGCTTACCCAGTATACAGGAGGTAAAGAATACCTGAAGAGGGCTGGGCTGTGACTCAGTGGTGGAGCATACGTTAGCGCGTGTGCAGCCCTGGATTTGATCTCCACCACCAGAGGGGGAATACTTTGATGCTGTGACCAGGGCTGTGTTTGGAATGGTTATTTGAGTGGTGGAGGACACATCAGAAGGGCCGGTGCAGGAAAGGGAAGACGGTGCAGTGCTCCAAATAGGAGGTGCGGGTGGCAGGGACAGGAGCAGGAAAGGCCGATACGGGGAGAGATGGGCAGGTTTGACAGATTCATTACTACTCGGGGGTGAGATCTATGAAGGATCTGGAGTAAAATGTAAAGGGAAGCTGCATTGAAAAGGTAGCATTTAGGGCAGTCTAGTACAGTGGTAAAAAACACTGGACCAGAACTTTGGAGTATGTATGGGCTGAAATTATAGCTATAACTTGGGCTGGTTATGTGATATACCAGCCTCTCTGTAGATAGAGAATCCAGTTAGATAAAGGCCCTGAATAATTTTCAAGTATCCTTTCTACTCAGATGGAGTAAAACACAAAGGGGAAGACCATCAGATTCGATTAATGGCTTTGCTACTGACCAGCCCTGAGTTAGTGACCCATTGTTGTAAGGGTTTAGGCAAGGCTCTTAGCATCTCTGTGAGTCAGAGCCCTTGTTAGAATAAGGCAGACATTAACAACAAAGCCCATGGCAGGGGCTGCTGTGCGAAAGGAGAGATCTCTGTAGGAAGCACTTTGCACAGAGCATAATAAAACTGATGTTATTACTGCAGGGTTCTTAGGGTCGCTGCTTTGGGAGGCGATGAAGGGAAATGCATAGAGGAGGGTTCAGAGTGTGTGTGAGTGAGTGAGTGTGTGTCAGTGTGTGTATGTGTGAGTATGAGTGTGTGTGTGAGTGTGTGTATGTGTGTGTATGTGTGAGTATGAGCGTGTGTGAGTGTGCGTGTATGAGTGTGTGAGTGAGTTGTGTGAGTGTGTGTATGTGAGTATGAGCGTGTGTGAGTGTGCGTGTATGAGTGTGTGAGTGTGAGTGTGTGTGTGAGAGTGGGTTAGTGTGTGTGAGTGTGTTAGTGTGAGTGTGTGTATGTGAAATTAACTAAAAAATCCAAAGATAGAAAAGCGCAATGCTGTGTTTAAAGAGAGTTTGATTTCCAGTGCTGAATTTAGGGACATTTGAAGGAATAAATAATAACTAGGATTAGAAAACAAAGTTTAGATAAAATTATAACATCTTTACGTTAGGCTAAAAAAATGAGCTTTATCCTATCAACAGAGAGGAACCCTTGAAAATTTCAAGCAATTAAAAGAATAGAAACAGATTTTTTTTTTTTAGCAGAAAGTTATTAAGCTTATCAGATATGTATGCCACAGTAGCCAAGACAGCTGAAGCCTTCCTCTGGCCTTCAGCAGCTAAATTCCAGTGGGATAAGTTATGTAATAAATAATAAAAGGAAAAGTGCTTTCAAATAGTAGTAAGATCTTTGAAGATAAAGTAGGAGTGTATATTAGAAATTGGGGAGGGGGAGTGGTCAGAGACCTGTGGAAACTCCTTTGGTCCATCTGCAAAGGAAGAGATGGACTCAGCCTTGCGCTGGGGCAAATGTGTTCCAGGCAGACGTGCTGAGCACCTGGCTTCGGAGTAGGGATGGCATTTGATGTGTTACAGAAGCCTCTAGTGTGGGAGTCCGTGGGGATGGGTGAGGCTAATCCTAGACAACCCTGTGGGCTTGAAAGGCTCTTTGAATGGCGATGGTGTCGTAGCACAGGGAGCTCTGGGAGGGTTGAGCAGCGCAGCGACATTATTTGGTAACATGCTTATTTGTTATTTTTTATAATTTTTATTTTATGAATGAGTGCTCTGCATGCACACCTGCTCGCCAGAAGAGGGCATCATTAGGGATGCTTGTGAGCCACCATGTGGGTGCTAGGAATTGAACCCGGGACCTCTGGAAGAGTAGCCAGTGCTCTTAACTGCTGAGCCACCCCTGCAGCCTGGTAATATGCTTTTCAAAGGTGTGTGTAAGACTGAGCCAACGCCTGTGCCCATCACCCAGCTACGCTCCTAGTAGTGGTTTGCTGCCCCAGTGCCCATTAGGACTCAGCTTGTCGGGATGCCCTTTCTGTGTACGTCCGCAATCTTTTAAACCTCAGATTACTCTGGCCTAGAGAGGGTAATGGCCAACACCAGAACAATCCTGACCTTTGTGCACAAGAATCACTGAGGTAACATAGACGATGGTGCTAAGTTAGGCTTCTTTGTCTTTTCAGAAAGAACAGTTTTTTTATATGTGCCTGGTAGTTGCATTCGTCCTGTCTGTGATTTTCCTGTTTGTGTGGGTTGAAACCTCTAACGAGTACAACGGCTTTGACTGGTGAGTTCATTTCTGTACTTTTCTTGGTATACGAGCTCCTTCACTGGACAGCCACTTGGGTTCTCCCAGGCCGAAAGATCTGGTGTTTTAGCAGGTGGACACACATGGGTTTTGCACAGCTGGGGCACTGAGCAAACGTTCAGCACCCAAACTTCCACCTCCCTTCCACCTGTGCTCAGTCACACTGCAGACCAAACGGTGCTCCCAGCTTCCTGTGCTTCTGACACCCCAGCCCTCAGGTAAGGATTCTGTTCTCTTTACTCTGAAGTCCCTTTGCTTGATGGCAGATGCCCATACTCTTGTTCCTCACAGTTTATGTCCCACAGTCCTGCAGCCTTTGCATCTGTCCTTTGTCTTTAGGATCCCTTGGAACTCTGGGCAGAGGGACACATGCTCCTTCTCAGCTCCCTTTCATGGCTAAGCGACTCCCTGACCACTGTCAGACATCTCAGCTTTTCTGGCCTGATACCTGCAGCATCGCTGTAAGCCTTACCTCCTACTTAGTGTTTACGGGAGAAGGCGTGTGTAGGCGTGAGGCTCCTTTCTTTTCCTTAATGAAATGCAGTTTATTTTTCTCTGTATAAAAGTTAAATCTAGTTGGTTATCTTAAATGTAGAAAAAAAAGGAGAACTTAGGGCTGGAGCGATGCTCAGAGGGTAAAGGAGGTGCTGGAGGGATGCTCAGAGGGTAAAGGAGGTGCTGGAGGGATGCTCAGAGGGTAAAGGAGGTGCTGGAGCGATGCTCAGAGGGTAAAGGAGATGCTGGAGGGATGCTCAGAGGGTAAAGGTGTTTCTCATAGAGCCTGACGATCTGAGTGCAATCCCTGGGACTCACGTGATAGAGGCAGAGGACTGACTCTTGCGAGCTGTCCTCTACCCCCCATCCCCTGTGGGTACGTATCTGTACAATTCACAGACAGAAATAATTTTTAAATGCAGAAAATTGGAAAATATATGGTCACATTCAAATGACAGTCACAACCCAGCTTTCTGCTGTGCTTATATTATTATGTTTATACTATTTTTTATTTTTATTTTTTGGTTGCTCAAGACAGGGTTTCTCTATAGCTTTGGAGCCTGTCCTGGAACTAGCTCTGTAGACCAGGTAGGCCTTGAACTCACAGAGATCTGCCTGCCTCAGCTTCCCTAGTGCTGAGATTAAAGACGTGCGCCACCACCACCTGGCTAAAATGGCTGTATTTCATCTTTATCCTTGAAGGGGATCTTAGACAGGCTTAGCACTCTAATTTGCAGTTTTTCTTTGAACCCCGTAATTCACTTGCTCTGCTGTCTCCTCACTTGGTTTGTGTCGAGAAGCGTGCTGTGTGCCCATGACCTTCTGAACCTAATCTGCCCTTGAAAAATCTGCCTACTTTTAGGAGTTTCCCCTTTCTTTGGTTTTCATAGTTTTCCGATGGCGTGCATGTATGGTTTTCTTTCTGCTTTAAGTTTGTCTTGCTTCTTTCCTTTGCAGTTTGATATCGGTAGAGACTTGCTTTTGTCAACTTGTTTAAGCTGAACCTTAGTTTCTTCACTGTACAGTTTCAGTTTCAAGAGAAATTGATACATGGTTTGGAAGGCAGATGTGAGGCAACACCTGTTTCTCTACCTTGAAGGTTGGAGTCGCTAATATGCACTGACCTGCATGCTTTGTTGACGTGGGCAACGCTGAGATCTGCAACTCCCTTACGTTTGACCATACTTTCTGCAGCTTGTCTGAGTAGTGTATGAGGTTTTCTACAACTTGTGGTAAAGATTCTTTACGTTGCTCATGCTATCAAAGCTCGAGGTTGTGTCAGCCATGGCTTTGAGTTTGTTCTTATGGGTTCCAGTACATCTGTGGAAGTTCTAGTTTGTTCTAAGTTCTAGTTTCTTCCTGACTGCCCATCTGACTAACAGTGACTTAAGTGAGGCCTGACACAAAATACAGGGACAAAGACCCCTCATGCAGATCCCCCATGTTCCCGGAAGTATGAAGTACGACCCCCATGATAAATTTTACTCTGTATCACTTATTGTGGTTCTGTTTCTTTAAAGAAACCTTTACACAGAACATATCCACAGCAGTTCTAGAAGATACAATCTTTTACTTAAAAAAGATGTATTTTTTAAAACTCTGTATGTGTGTTTGTGTATGTATGTGGGGTATGTGTTCTTGAGGACAAGATTTAAGATGAAAGGCTGGCGTTCGATGAGGCTGCATATAAAATGCTGTTCAGGTTAATTGAGAAGACTCGTACTGGGGCAGGCAAGATGGCTCAACAGGGCTGACAACATAGATTTGATTCCTGAATCCTACACAACGTAAGAAGAGGAGCAACTCACAAGGTTACCTTCTGACTGCCACAGACATGCTGTGCCCCCTTACTCTCACAAAATGAAAGAAGACAAAGAATATTTTAGAAAGACTAGGACCTCTGCGGGACCAGGCCCGAGCCAGCGACCTCCCCTGGAGCAGATAGACTGAGCAACTTCTGAGAGAGCAGACCCAAGTGAGCAACCTCCTTGGGAGCGTGCCTGAATGACCTCTGGGATTGCAGGTCAACTTCCGGGAGCACCAAACTACCTCCAGGAATGCTGAGGATGCAGAGTGACCTCCTGGGTGATTGGAACCCTTGCCCTGACTCCACTAGGAGAACAACCATCTGAGCCTTGGATCCACTGGCACCAGAGACACGGCCCCAACTACACCAACCAGAGGAAAGGACAGGTGGACAACAAGGTAAGAGCACCAGTCGGCATCACCAAAAACTAGTGGCTCTGTGACAGCAGCACCCTAATACAGATGAGCAGAAGAAAACTATCTAAAAAATAACTTTAGGAGAATGTTTGAGGCCATTAAAGAGGAAATGAAAAGTCCCCTCAAAGAAATGGAGGAAAAGACAAACAAAAAATTGGAAGAAATCAACAAATCCCTTAAAGAAAACCAAGAAAAAGCAAACAGGTGAAAGAAACGGTTCAGGATTGACAACTGAAATAGATACATCAAAAAAAAATCTTTCCTGATTGTTCTACTAATTGTGTTTTGTTGGGCACAATTCCATCTGTTTTGGAAGCTTAATTGGGTCCTCTTTTGACTTCCACCCAACCTCTGAGGGTGTCTGTCAGACCTGGGGCTTATATGCTGGACAGTGTTAGCACTGCGCTCCACCCCACCCTCCTCCCAGGGCTCCCTTTCCCAGAGTGCCCTTCCCTCGCAGGCTCTTCACTGAGGACTGCCTGCCCGGTCCTTCGTGGTGTGTCTATAAACCCTACAAAAGTGGCATTTTCTTTATTATTTTGAAGTCCTTTTTTAAGATTTATGTATTTTATTCATCAGATCCCACTATAGAGGGTTGTGAGCCACCACCTGGTTGCTTAGCGTTGAACTCAGGACCTATAGAAAGAACAATTAGTACTCTTAGCCCAATGCCATCTCTCCAGCCCCTCCTTTATTATTTTTAATGTGGTTATAGTCTCACGTTATATATTTTATATCTTTAAAGTTTTTCATTGACAGAGAAAACCCAGACAAATACAACATTGTCTCCCCTCACAAGTCTCTAGTGGTTTTCCCACAGATGGTACTTTCAGAGCAGAATGATTGGGACATAGCTCTCATACAGATGAGAGCAATTTATATGGTGGTTATGAGTGCAGTTATGTAAGAATGTATATGTAGTGGCATTTCATTCGTATTTTAATAAATAAAGCTTGCCTGAAGATCAGAGAATAAAACAGCCGCACTGGCCAGCCTTACAGACCAGGCAGTGGTGGCACACACCTTTAATCCCAGCAGCCATGCTAGTTTGCCATAGAAACCAGGTGCTGCATGCCTTTAATCTCAGTGGTGCGCGACTTTAATCCCAGCCCTAGAGAGGAAGATAAAATGGGAGGAGACAGCTCTCAGTCACAGTCTCATTCTGAGGTTTCCTGGAGGCAGCATCAACCATTTTCAGACTGAGGTTGAGGTAAGAACCAGTGGCTGGCTGTTTTGCTTCTCTGGTCTTCAGGTTGAGCCCTAATATCTGTCTCTTGCGTTTTTATTAATCATGCTACAGGTATACATGTACCTGGACAGGGAGCTTGGAAGGGAGAAATGACCGGTCATGTTGATGTAATTAATTCAGGGGGTGATTTCCTTTCTTTACATAGTGCAGAATTTCTACATCACATTGTTTATTGAAGATGATATAAATTTGGATATATGTTATATATAACTTTTTAACATCTCTCCACTTATAGAGGCTACATTAACATTGTTGGTTGCCTATTGTACAAAATTTTAAAAAAACCCAAAACCTATCTCCAAAGCACTCATAAGATCTGCTCACAGAGCGCTTCTCCTCTCGTCCCCTCCATTTTTTAATGCCCCATTTAGTCTACTCTTGTCTCTACCCTTAATGTAGATTCTATTACTGATCCCTGCTATATTTTAAGGATTGAAACGTATTTTTCAGGGTTGTTTATCTAGGGTCAAAACGCTGGTTCTTGTGGTCCATTTTTATGTTGAGTATAGCCGGGATCCTGACTGCCTACACGTCCTTGCTTTTGGTGAGTGATGTTTCTCATTTTTCACTTTTGAGCAGTCTCGTAGGTTGCTCCTTCCTGTGCTATTGTATCTTTCTGGAGTCTTCAATATTAATAGAGCTGGGAGTTTACATCGGCCGCTTCAGTTTTATGCACAAGGGCTGGCTGAAAGATTTATGCTGTTTAGAGGATTTGTCTGATCAATTTGGTCCTTTGAGAGGGTGACAGAGCACCTCTTTTTATTCCCCCATTTCATACTCTATCCATGAGCTCACTAACATTATCATTTAAACACCTAGAGCATTCCTCCACAGTCTGGGCCTTACCCTCTGCAAACGCTAGTCTTTACAGTCTGGGCCTTATCCTCTGCAAACACTAGTCTCCACAGTCTGGGCCTTACCCTCTGCAAACGCTAGTCTCCACAGTCTGGGCCTTACCCTCTGCAAACGCTAGTCTTTATAGTCTGGGCCTTATCCTCTGCAAACACTAGTCTCCACAGTCTGGGCCTTACCCTCTGCAAACGCTAGTCTCCACAGTCTGGGCCTTACCCTCTGCAAACACTAGTCTCCTAGCTCACCTGCGGGTTATTCGCAGATGACCCTGTCACTGTCGCATGACATGCTGGAGTCATGGTGCCTGAAGACAGACACCATGCAAGAGAAGGATCCATGGGAATGGAGACTAACAGAAAGATAGCTCTAACTGGACACTGGCTGCTTACCTTGATTTCATAATCCCATGTTCCCACTGACCTCTCTGGCATACAAGAGTCCAACCCTTGAATATGTTGTCAATTGCAATATTTTTCTTCTAAAAATGTGATCATTATTGGGAAAATATTGTAATGAGTACTGATTATGTAGAAATCAATAAAATGAAAGTGTGTAGTTTCTGTCTTGATGTAGAGCTCTTGATAAAGACAACGTGCTCATTCCGTTTCTTATCACTGGGACAGATGCAACCTGAGAGGATGCAGTCTTCTGTGGTAGAGGAGGAACGGCGGGAAGAGGCAGGTGTATGAGGCCTCTGGTCACATCAAATCACAGTCAGGAAGCCAAGAGAGATAGATGGCTTACCCTTCGCTCATTTTGTCATTTTTATTCAGTCTGGGGCCTTGGCCCATGGGATGAAGTTGGCCACATTCAGAGAGTCTTCCCTCCTAAGTTAGACCTTTCTGTAGAAATTCTCATAGATGCATGCAGAAGTGTTTCCATGGAGATCCTAAATCAAATCAAAATGACCATGAAAAGTAGTCATCACAGACTGGTGTGAGATAGAGCTGTGATTGTTTCTTCATCCAGGGTTTAGAATCACAGACAAAGTCACTACTGCACATGGAACTTGGTAATTTTCATGATAGATGCCTGAATGCAGCTTGCCAGGGCCTCTAAGAGGGAAGAGCTCCCTGCCAGCAAAGATCATCAAATAAAACTTCTTAGAAGGAGCAGCGCTGGAGGGCTGGGGGACAGCTTAGTCAGGACAGTGTCTGCTGTATAAACATCAGTTCAGGTGTCCAGAGTCAAAACAGTGCTGCAGAGGTTCAGCACAGAGACAGGTACTACCTGAAGCTCCAGACCAGGTAGCTTAGCTGAAGCCATAAGCTTCCGGTTCAGTGAGAGACCTTATATCCCAAGATAAAAGTGGTCCGTGAACATGTGTGTGTACTTGGTGCAGACGTGTGCACCTGTGGTCATTTGTGCTCATGTGTATGCACATACCCACACCAGCAAGCGCGCGCGCGCGCGCACACACATACACACACACACACAGTAGCAGCACTGGAGTGGACTCTCGAATAGACAGTGGATTTGGATGTGGGGGCTGAAGTGTGAGGCACATTGTGGGCTGAGGGAACCCACTGTGAGAGAGGAGTGAGAGAGAAGTGTATTTGATACTTTGTTAGGAAGGGAGTAATGTGGTGATGAGAGGCACACCTGTGACGGCTTTTGAACATAAAGTAAGATAACGTAGTAAACATGAATTTCCATTTTAGGGAAAATGACTCCAGAAGCTGTGATGTGAAGGTAGAGAGACCAGTTGAGAATCTCCTCTTTCAGTGCGGAGGGTGCAGGCGTAGTGTGTGCTCAGGGCTAAATTCTGGGCTACTGATTTGTACGGCGTTTGTGCACAATCAGTGAGAAACGGGATTGTTAGCTTCAGTGTGAAAATGTTAGTGTCCAGCGGAGTCATGGCTTTAGCAGACTCTCTCACCTTCCTCTTTTGGACACCCGTGGAGACGGAGCGAGGCCTGGCATCAGTTCTGGAGTGCTTACACGGTAATCTTGGTCAAGTCACATAGCTCTTCTAAGCCTTGGCTGCTTTTTAATTTCCAAATGATGATAGTATTTAATAAAATGTACTTTTATATGGCTAAATAAAAATATACACAAAATTATTGTCGTAAAAGGTAAGTGCTTTGTACATTAATATGTTAGCAGCTGAGGATGCGAGCTTTCAGTGTCTGTGCTCATACGGACTTGATGACTGGCTGGGCTTAGCCTTAGATTTGAATGTATTGAGCACATGCAATGTTAATGACAATCACAACATCAGCACGAGTTCTGGAAAGAGCTTTTAAGTGACCCTTGGGAGAGTTGACTCTTAAACTCTCTTCTCTTATAAGTGAATCTAAGTGATGCCAGGCATGAGTCCGTCACAGGGAAGGATAGATGTTCCGGAAGGAAGCAGCAGTGGTGATGGCTGTGAGCTCCCAGAGGAGAGAGAATGAATTCCTCCTAGGGTGCTGGTGGTTGCTACAGATCGGAAATGACATTTAAACTGGCCTCAAGGGTCAGTGGCATGGGGGAAAAGAGCCTTAAAGAGATGAGAAATAGCATGGCAAGAGAAAATAAAAAGTAGCCTCAGGCCGGGCAGTGGTGGCGCACGCCTTTAATCCCAGCACTTGGGAGGCAGAGGCAGGTGGATCTTTGTGAGTTCGAGACCAGCCTGGTCTACAGAGCTAGTTCCAGGACAGGCACCAAAGCTACGGAGAAACCCTGTCTTG